CTGAAAGCCTACACACGGGCCCCTCACGGGACCCGATCTTGGAATAGGGCCCCCAGCTCGCGTCACCGCAACCTGAAGGCCCTATGGCATTTTTACTTGGGCCTGCATCAGAAAAACGCCAGCTTTAGATTATTTTTATAGTCTTTATTTTATTTATTTGCTGCTGTTTTTCTAACGGGTGTACTGTTGTCCGTTTTGTGGCCAGGTACACGCTTCTAGGGCCAGGGCCAGATTCAGGCCCAGAGGCTGAGCTCCTAAAAACGTTTGGACCTTTTCTTTTGTTTTCGAACAGATTTTGACCTGTTCGAACCCAGGCCGACGTTGAGGCCGGGTACGTCCCCACAGGACCGGTTTGAAGCCAGGTACCAGGAAGATTAATCCTGGACAGGGCCTGGACATCCGGTAGGGACCCAGGCAGGCCGTTTTAGGCCAAGGACTGAACCAATTTTCGAAGCCTGCGATCTGGACCGTGGATCGGAGTTTCGATCTACACGGTCCAGAACGCAGGCCGTGGGTTTTCAGTCCTGGCCCAGCACTACTTAAGCTGGGCCATTGCCCAGTTCGGACACAGAAGGTACCAGGAGAAATCCAGCGTTATGCTGGTTTAGGAACTTGGCTGCTGCGCTATTTTGGAGACTCCCTGCTGCGCCATTTCGAGACTGCAGCTGCGCTGCTCATCGGCCATGAGGCACAGCGCTGGAGGAGTCCAGCGCCGAGGAGGGTAGCGGAGTTAGAGAGAGAGAGAGAGAGAGAGAGAGAGAGAGAAAGAGAGAGAAGAAGACTTACCTGCCCAGCGCCATAGCTGGCTCCGCGGTACCTGCAAGTTCAGCCATCGCCAGGTAAGTGCAGAAAGCACCCAGCTTAGACGCAAAGAGTGAAACAACGGGAAATCAATAACAACACATTCGTATCATCATCATCATAGGCTGGGAAGCAGCGCAGCGGAAGATCTTGTATCAAAGGACACGTGGACAACAACATGAAAGTGAGAAACTTCGGAAGGGCAAGACACCAGAAAGATTGCCCTTTCGCTCACACACATGGGGAGAGATCCATAGACATGCGAGAGAGAAGGGGGAGGGACATAGAGGTAGCCAAGTCCAACCCAAGTCTGATCTCCGAATGTCGCACACAGTTCAATCCCAATGTAGAGTGTAAGTCCGATCTGAATGTCGTGTCCAATAAGGCAGAAGGCCGTGTCCAAACAATGTCTGCAGTTACCTCTATCTCTACTCTGATAAAGAAGAAGAAGAAGACGAAGAAGAAGAAGAAGAAGAAGAAGAAGAAGAACTTCGGAGGAGTAGGAGAAGAAGAGAGGAGAAGAAGAAGAGGAAGAAGAAGAAGAAGAAGAAGAAGAAGAAGAAGAAAGCTGGGTGCTTTCTGCACTTACCTGGCGATGGCTGAACTTGTAGGTACCGCGGAGCCAGCTATGGCGCTGGGCAGGTAAGTCTTCTTCTCTCTCTTTCTCTCTCTCTCTCTCTCTCTCTCTCTAACTCCATTACCCTCCTCGGCGCTGGACTCCTCCAGCGCTGTGCCTCATGGCCGATGAGCAGCGCAGCTGCAGTCTCGAAATGGCGCAGCAGGGAGTCTCCAAAATAGCGCAGCAGCCAAGTTCCTGAACCAGCATAACGCTGGATTTCTCCTGGTACCTTCTGTGTCCGAACTGGGCAATGGCCCAACTTAAGTAGTGCTGGGCCAGGACTGAAAAGCCACGGCCTGCGTTCTGGACCGTGCAGATCGAAACTCCGATCCACGGTCCAGATCGCAGGCTTCGAAAACTGGTTCAGTCCTTGGCCTAAAACGGCCTGCCTGGGTCCCTACCGGAYGTCCAGGCCCTGTCCAGGATTAATCTTCCTGGTACCTGGCTTCAAACCGGTCCTGTGCGGACGTACCCGGCCTCAACGTCGGCCTGGGTTCGAACAGGTCAAAATCTGTTCGAAAACAAAAGAAAAGGT